CTCATGCTCTAGGGAGGCCTTCCTGGCAATGCTGGACCCACTCGTGCTCTGGGGAGGCCTTCCCGGCCATGCTGGGCCCATTCGTGCTCTGGGGATGCCTTTCCAGCCATGCTGGGCCCACTCGTGCTCTGGGGAGGCCTTCCCGGCAATGCTGGGCCCACTCGTGCTCTGGGGAGGCCTTCCCAGCAATGCTGGGCCCACTCGTGCTCTGGGGCTGCCTTCCAGGCCACGCTGGGCCCACTCGTGCTCTGGGTAGGCCTTCCCAGAAATGCTGGGCCCACTCGTGTTCTGGGGTTACCTTCCTGGCCATGCCAGGCCCACTCGTGCTCTGGGGAGGCCCAGCCTGAGCATGATTTGAGGGGTGGGGGAGCCCTACCTTGTGGCACCCTTAATCATTGCTCTGATAAGTCCTTTTAAGTAGGCATGAAACAGTTTCATATTGGAAATGCTCTGGGGTAAACATCAGGTATTTATAGCTCTGCTGAAAACAGGAGGGGCATGTACTGACAAAGCTGGAAAAAGTTTCCATTTTTCAACCATCAGTGGACTTGGTCCTAAGAGTGGAGGGACAAGGCCAGAGGCTGATGGCATGTTGTGAGCCTGGGTGGCTCTTACTCTTGGGGAGGTGTCAGGGTGACATAGTGACAAGGCTGACCAGTGAAGACACTGGGGATGGCAGCAGGGGACCAGCCTCTAAGCACTTGCTCAGAGATTCCTTCCCACATTAGGGGGCAGGCTCAGAAGACCCTCCCTACCAGGAGACTTCTCTTTCCCGGGGTTCCCCAAGTGCTTACACCAGCAACTTCCCATGATTGACATAACCTGAAGCTGAGGTCGCTGATTCACAGCTGCACTCAACACACATCTGTTCCTAGGTGTGGCCTTTGGAAAATCCAAATCACCCTTAAAACTCAGGTGTGTGGATGTTTCCTCCTCTTCATCTCACCCTTCCCCACCCCTCCCCAAACAGACCTGAGTATCTGTGGAGCACCTGTGAGCCCCACAGCTGGATCACCTCTGTGACAGCCTGGACTGTGTCCACATAGGTGCTTGTCAACTTCGGTCCTGTCATGTAGGAACTATGGGTGACTGGAAATTCCAAACTGGCTGGCTGGCTGAAGGAATGAACGGGTGATTGTGTGATTGGCATTATTTGGAAAGAGTGGTGCAGAGACTATGTGTAGAACTGTTGGGCAGTCCCTTGTGAGGGTGACATTTCCTGATGAAGGAGCTTTTGAGATTGACTGAGAAGAGAGATGTGGGGATGCAAAGGGCAGAGGATGCGTCCACAGCCTTCCCTCTGCAGGGTCCACCGTCAGCATCCTCAGTGCCTCACCTCGCTCTGGGCAGGGGCCAGTGTCCTCACTTCTGCTCTCCCTCTGTCCTGCTCCTCTGTCCTTTTTCCACAGCTTGTCTCTGGCCCTGGATATTCTGAACCCAGCTCATAAGCTGGGGTACACTTGTGCCCCACTTGGACTCATATCTGTCTGATGCCAAGGGGTTTCTCTCTCATGCCTGCTGGGTGACCCCCTCTGCCTGCTTGGCCTGTGCCTCCCTCTCCCACCTGAGGAGCTCTGGCTGTACACTCCGAGACTCCCAGGCCCTGACCTTCTTCTCTCTATTTGTTTATCTGAAGCTCCCTCAATGACTTGTGTTAAGGTTCTTTCTTCCCTTAGAAGAAGCTTACTTGCTCCACCACCAAAATTGGGTCAGCTGGTGAATCAGGCCATACCAACTCTCCTAAACACAGAAGGGGGGATAGTGAACGTGTCTGTGAGGGTTCCCCAGCCTGGCCTGGGAACCCCAGCTGAGGACACAGGGGCTGCTGCTCCTCCCATGTCAGGAACTTGCTTTTGTGCACCCAGGGCTGGGGCCCCACTGCCACTGCGCTGTGAGCCTTGTTAAACAGCCAATCCCACAGCCAGGAATACTGATGACTCCCCATCAGAATCAGACCAAACCTGGAACTCCTGGCTCCATCCCCACTCCACTAGCTCCTAAGAACAGAGTGTCTTCCCCACTGCCCCACCCACACTGTCTCTGAGGGGTGAACAAAACTTTAAACCTGGCTCCTGTCACTTGAGGTGGGTAGGAAAGAAAGGTCTTGGGCTTTATGTTGGCCCAGTTATTCCTTTGTTAGCCAGATAATCTTGAGCAGATTGCCTAAATTTTCTGCCCTTTAATGTCCTTCTTAAAAGGAGAACTTTAAATTTTACTTCACAAGGTGACTGTCAAGATTAGACAAAATGATGCTTCAAAAGTTTTAAGGATGAATGGGCTAAATATGTCTTATGTAATAATTCTTGCTAATTAGTCTGTGCTTAAAGTCAGATGAAACTTTCCATTGGCTGTGAGTTTCCCCTTTTC